ATGGAGGATGGAATTGGGATGTCGTCCCTAGAAACTACCTTTCGTTTATCTTATTGCACAAATAAAGTTTTGGTGGTCAAATGTTATGGTCAGCAACCTAATACTGTGTGTTAAAGGGATCGATTGGATTACTGGACTGAAAAAAAAAGGTTTTGTCAATCGGTTCGTGTATTGGTACCATATAATAATAATATTTTATTTAACTCGTAATGTCCGTGCGACAAATTTCTTCGTCATTATAGCATTTGTTGTAGATTGCAAAATAAATAAAAAAATTAATCCTAATGAGTTAATTAATTGATCCGCTTAGATTAATGGGCTAATTCCATCAAATTAATGTCCTATTAAAGGGTCGTTTGTTTACTAGTGAATGGAACTATTCAGCGCTGAATGTTGAACGTGTTTGATTCTCACCTCTGAATGAAGACTATGCTGAATGAAACAGCAAAACACTGCTGAATGATTCAACATTAAAGTACATTCTGAATCATTAAGCACTCAGTATTTTACCATAATACATATTTTTCACATGTTGTCTTATTAAACAATCATATCTTATAATATAATAAATCATTATGAAGGTAAAAATGAAAATATTCATAATTCAGATTGTACATTCAGAACCATTATCAAACATCATGTCACATTCAGAGTCAATTCATACAGAACCTTTGAATCATTCAGGCCATTGAATCATTCAAACTTTAATCATTTTATTTTATCAAACAGCCCCTAACTTTAATTTTCTCCAAGTTTTAACAGGTTTGGGCCAGAAAATAAGATGATTTATATAGTTTAGAGGTTACTTAAGCCCACGTTGTTTAGCTGCTGGGCCTCATAATTGCTCAAAAAACACTCTAAAGTTTTGTTGCTTTCTTTAAATATACATGTTATGAATACTTGTTACTCGTGGATGTCGATTATTTTTAGAACTCTATCTATTAAATATGATTTTGATATATTTTATTATCAAGAATTTTATTTTTATTAGAGTAGTGTTATATTATTTGCTCTTTATGTCTAAAGATGACAACGAGTTGAGTTGGGTTAGAATTTTTAGTTAACCCAAACCTGACTCGAGTATTATATCCTCACTCGAACTTGATCGGACTTCAGTTTAGAGAAATTTCACCTGACTTGAAACTCATCTTGATTTTTATGATAAAAACCGCATCCGGCCCAACCTAAATATAAAAAAATTTCTTTTTATTCAACAAAATAAGGACTAAATTAAAAAATATATATATAGAAAGAGACAATAGATAAATATATAAAGATCTATTATACCATTATTCTTTGATCAAATCGAATTGGGTAATTTTTCACCTTGCAACCTATTGATCTCATCTCTCACAAAATTCAACCCAACTAAACTCAAATTTTAGGAAATACACAATCCTATAAGATTATATCAAAAATTCACCAAGTTTGGATCAAATTATCATCCATATTAATATCTATAAATATAAAATTTGAAGAAAAAAAAGTGAATATATATTTACATTGAAAAAATAATACATATTTCTTTCTCTATTTTTAGTACTTCTTGTACTTTGTCTATCTTATAAAAATAAACAATGAAAAATATTTTATAAACAAAACTGTATAGAAATTATACTTTACAAACATATTTATTAAATATCAATTAATATTTTTCAATAGTCGTAAATCCTAAACTCTAAGCACAAAATTTTAAATTCTAATATTTATAACACTAAACTCTAATAAAACAAATAATAATATCTATACAACTCAAATTTTATTTTCTATCGCAAATATATATGTAATAATCCTATAAATAATCCATAAAAATATAAAGAATATGTAAAAAAAAAAAACAATTCATAAAAGTATGTCATCTATGAAATTTATTACCAGAATTCATAAATGTGGGGACAATGTTGGGTTTCAAAGTTGGTAAGAATGGGTCAGTTTACCTGGAGGGGACATCAACATACCCTTCAAAACCCATAAAGAAACAATAGAATTGGACAAAAACATACAAGGGGATATGGACAAGTTATGAGACATAAATAGGACCCACCAAATATATAATGCATCATGAAATTTGTAAAGACTTTAGAAATTTGATTGAAATGCCATGATTGTTGCATGGAATTCAGTATGTACACCGTCTGTCCTCTTATTGCTCATTGCTTCCAAATCTAATCTTCTTCTTTATTACACTTTTCAATCTTCAATTTATAAATTATGAAAATGTCGGTTCTCTTGGTATCCACTCTTTATTTTTCTTCTTTTGAAAATATTCCTTTTGGATTATATATATATATATATATCAATTTAGTTTTCTTATAAATTTAAATTACATATTAACTTAGATCTTATGTAAAATATATTGATCAATTTTAGACAAATTTTATATATTTTAGACATAAATTTTGTGTAGAGATGTTGAGAGAGTGTTTTGAGATATTATAAATTTTTGTTATACACATGACTTTTGAGATATAAGAAATATTATATATTATTATTTTTTTATCTCAATGTTTATAGTAAATTATTATTTTTGTCATCTATGAAGATAAATAAGATTGAATCACATTAAATAATTTTTTTGTACATATTTTATTCTATATTAATGTTGTGTAGAATGAGTCCTGTCATATATGAATGAAAAAACCCTAATAGGATGAAGAATCTGCAGTAGAATGAGTATAGTAGATATAGCTGAAACATATATGACAAATTTAGCAATCATACTCATAGGCACCATCTACAGTAATTGCTTCTGTTGTTGTTTGCTACTGGCCGCTGGAGGATTCGAAGGATCTCTATTTCAACATGACCATATAAATTTGTCAGCAGCATGTATGATGATAAATTGTAAAGCATTATGGCTTCATTCCACTCGCATATTACTTCCTTTTACCATCAAAAGCAAAAAGGTTCCAGGAAAATATTTATTTATATATCAATTCCTAGAAGAAACTTCTTGTTTTAATCGTATACATTTTACATATAAATGGATACGTTACACATTTTATAGGTACAATTATTCGGATTCAGAATATTCTTTTTCACCACTAACACAACTCAATAAATTCTACTATCAATGATAATTAAGTATGAATGTTGGTGTAAACCGTCACTTAGGTTATAAGAAATGTATATAGCAGTCCAAGAATGCTGCGCTACGCATGACACACGAATACACCATTTTTCAAAGCACAGACTTTTGCTTGAAAGCAAGAAAACTGTGTTTTTTTTTTTGTTGGATTGCCGACGAACCAGTAGCTCCACTATACCACGGCCGCCATCTGAACCACTTCCCGGTTGGACCAACACCGTATCTTTTGCAGATCACACAACTTCACTTTAAAGAACAATGCTTCCTCTATATTGAAAGTGTTTAACCAGGTTTTCATTTTCCTTCAGAATCCAAACAGTTGAATGGGGGAGAGGAAGCTAGGTGAGAAAGTGACCAAAAATCCTTAGAAAATTACTTTCTTAAAGTAGCTGTGTGATGTAAGAGGGAAAGACAAGAAGTTGGTGGTGGTATTGTGGAGAGAGTTGAGAGGATGTTTTCATGGCGTGGATTCAGAGTTTTAGGAATTCTGGAAACAATCATATGCACATCCGAATATCTATGAAGAATTTATACTTAATAAGTATATCTAAAGTTGTAATGTTTCTCTCTTAGCAATCAATTTTCATTGGAATATTAAAATGAGAAAGTATTAAATATATCCCAACTGAGAGGATCGACCTATAATTATTTTTTTATCATTAGAAAATAAGGTATTAAGGATATGGAAGGGGCTCATACATCCTAAATTCTTTTGCCTGATAACAATTATAGTTTTTGTCAATTTAAATACTCTTCAAATTAAATATTGTAAACTTTAGATTAAATACTTTAAGTCTCTATTAACTTTGAAGTGAGACGATTTAACTTCCCTCACTATTTAATCCTAACTTTATCTATATCTTTAATATATGGCTCAAATTAATGGATCGATGAATTAAGTACACACTACATAAAAATAACAAAGAAAGGGAAAAGGGGAAGAAATGGAAAGGAAAATGTGGGGATGGGAGTGCATGAGTGATCATTTTTCCCCCTTTTTACAGTCTTTTTTTTGCAGGCAATGGTGATCATAGTGTAAATGTGGTTTTGCAGGATTTGAAAGGCTCTATCATTTTCCATCTTTCAACAGCAATACTTGGACATGGATGGAAACTTTGACATAACCCACCACTTGTTGCCTTCAAGACTCAACAATCAGCTCTCTTTCCCTTACTATTCCACTCTTTCATTTTTATAATATAATTAAATATCTATTTAAAATCTTTTTGAAAGATTGACAATCACATATAAACCCGGGAGACGTAGCTATTTGAACCTAAGACTTTTAGATAAAATAACACTCCCTTTAATCATTGAGTTCATTTGATGAGTTATAACACTTTATAATTTCTCTTTTGAAGAAGTTGAAAATCTACCCAACAATATTATAATAACAAATACATTATAATGGAACATGATCTTGTGAAAGACACACATCATACATAAGGGACGGATGCACTTGACCCCTAGAGAAAAAAAGCTATTAAATTTAGTTTAATATGCTAATGGAAAGAGAGAGAAAAAGTAAGGAAACTTGCATATTCATTTTATTAAGGAAAATGAATATTAAAATTTAAAGCCTTGTTTTTTAATTTTTTGGAATCGCCACTGTCGTACATCTAAAATTTTGAAATTAGAAGGGGTAGAATTTAATTTATCAATTCGATTCTAATTGGTTGATCATACATAGATCCTATGTAGACCTAGCTAGAAAACATCATGCGTTGAGACAAGATATATGTATAAGAAAAACATGATAGTCAATACGAGAATGATACATGTCCCCTTGAAACAGCTATCCCCTACACATGGATCAAAAGACTTCCATTAATATTGCTACCATTGTCTAAGATATATCTAGCCATTACTAGTTGACTCGAAGACTGAGTCGACTCTCGTGTGGAAGTGTGGAGCACAAATTCCAAAACCTGCAGAAAAGTATAAGTTTGAAGGAGGATCGCTTCCTGTTACCTTTCTTTAGGGTTTTTTTGGGAAGAAATAATGGAAGGAGGAGGAGTCCCAAATTATAAGATACAAATTCCACAGGCCATGAACGAAATGGGGTTTCCACAATATGAAGAAAACCAGATGATGAGTTTCTTGTCCCCCGCACAAACTTCTCAGCCTCTCGCCACCATGGCGGCGTTTACCGGTCATAACAACCAGGTATATGGGATTTTTGTATACCTTTTCTGGTGATTTTTGTATCTGACATCGGTTCTTGAAAACAATTTAGGTAGGGACCTTGGAACCCAAAGCTGTAGAGGACCAGAACTGCGTCAGTAACATCAACAACGGAAACAATAATTCATGGTATTATTCATATCTTTGCACTATTTATTTATATGGTTCATATCTTCTTTAAAGTCTCTCCGTAATCCTTAGATGGAAGACTAGGGAAGGTTATTTCTTGCTTCACTTGCTAATGGAATGACACCACGCATCCATCTATATTGCTCTAACTTTCTCTTTCTTCTTAGTGGACATATTTCGGTTTCGTACTGATTTCCATTACAAAAAAGTTAAGAAAATTTGGGGGGGGGGGGTTTCCAGGTGGAGGAGCTCGGCTTCGGAGAAGGCAAGAGTGAAGGATAGGAGAAAGCTTAGAGAACCGAGGTTTTGTTTCCAGACGAGAAGCGAGGTTGATGTACTAGACGATGGTTATAAGTGGAGAAAATATGGCCAGAAGGTTGTCAAAAACAGTCTTCATCCGAGGTATACTTTACCGTAAATAACAATATTGAAATTAGTACAATCTAAATCTTTTTAACGAAGATTTATTGAAGAGTAAGTCTGATGTTAACAGCGGAGATAATTCCAGCTTCAGTACTGTATATGGTTGGATTTATAATTCATGTGTAAGTTTAAGAATGATTCATGGATGCATTTAAGTTAAGTTTAACATACTAGGTTTAATAATAACAACACTAAACCTGAGTCTCAAATTAATCCCACATGGAATACCTTTTATTCTATTAACATCATGTTTTATTCTATCATTTCTCCAAAACTTGATCACCAAAAATTTATTATTTTGCGAGATTTTTTACTTAATATAAGTAGGAGATAATATTTGATGTAGTGCTCAAGTCGCTTGCACTGTCAATTAAACATAAGATCTTATGTTATAAAGGGATACGATCTAATTGAACAACTAGGTGAGTGAAAATATTTTTAGTTTTACACATATTTAGAACAACTAGGTGAGTGAAAATAGCTAGTTGAAACTAACAGTATAAAATGATAAGATATTCGTTAAAAAACAAAAAGTTAATATTGATATTTTCCTTTTATTTATCTAACAGTCCTAAATTTACGTAAAACTTAAAAATATTTACATTATATAAGTGGATCATAATCGTATTATAAAATATAAATATATAAGTAATGAGAACTTATATGGTGCATCATAGCCCATCTCTTATGTATCTAATTAGGGTTTATATTTGAGTTGGCAGAAGTTATTATCGTTGTACGCACAGTAATTGCAGAGTGAAAAAGAGGGTTGAGCGATTATCTGAGGATCGTCGAATGGTGATTACAACTTATGAAGGCAGACACAATCACTCCCCCTCCGATGACTCTAATTCATCGGAGCACGAAGGTTTCACCTACTTCTAAATAAACTTCCGATGCTTATTTTTCGATATCTTTATTTAAATAGCAATGTTATCAAACGTTAGATTTTGACTTATTACAGTTTAACTCAATTTATTTATATAATAATAAATTTGTAATTTGAATCTTAATATTTATAAGGTGTTTTTGTTAGAAATTGTGCTTGTAAACTAGCCACAGCTAGTGTTATAGTGTTGTAGTGTTGTAATATTGTAATATTGGGATAATGTCGTTGTAGTGTATTTTATCTCGTATCTATAATATTTTGAGTTATATAAATTACTGTGTGTTCATCTACGCTTCCAACAATTTTTATGTCAATAATTAAATAACAGTCTTCTCTTACATGTGAGAACAACATTCTAGATAATGTATAAATGTTTCATGAATGATATATGTTTTTTGTCTGAGAGGAGTTAATTATGTAATTGTTTTTCTTAATAATTATAGATGATTGTAAAGTAATATATGTTATAATTTTTTTTAATTATTGATAATAATATCTTAAAGATACAATTGTTCGAACCCATGATCTCAAAAGAGAACGATATTCTTTTTAATTATATAATTGTTAAATTTGCAATGAATCTATTTGAATTGATAATTTTATTTTAACAACTTGATTTTAAAATGATCAGAAAATTATAAAATAAATTTTGATTAAAAATATTTTTTAATAATAAAATGAATTGATTATGAGTAATATTTTTTTTAAAAAAAATTCATCTATTAATAATATACATATTTTACAGATGCAGTTGCTCGAATCGAAATCTTTAGTAACAAATGTCGAAAGATATGAAAGCAGTTCCTCAGTCAGACGTGCTGCGATTTTCTGCTGGTCGAAAGGAAAGTTCAAATCTTTGCCTAATATACTCCACCAGGCAATTTCAAAACCAGAAACCAAATAAACATGAAATATTTCTCTACAATAATATCAATCAAGAAGAGTTAAAATGCAATGCATACTTAAATCAAGCAAATCAGTTACTGGTCTTCAAGATACCATGCCCTTTCCATTGTTAAAGATCAACTTCACATTGCATCTTAGTCTGGATATCCCAAAGAAAAACAAATAGAACCGAAAGAAGTAGCATTAGGCAGGCTTATGAGACAAGGTCAAGCATTAACAGTCCACCGACGGTGGTGTTACGCCAATGCCCACAAAAAACATGAGCAATGGGGTTGATTGGTTGGTTTCCGAACCAATGGTGGAGAAATGAGTGTCATTAAAATCGGGAGAGAGGCGGATTTTTCCCTTTTGTGGTATAGGTTAGTACGCAACTTATCCAACACTCCCCTCCGCGCACGTTAGTCCCATGTATTTAAATAGCATTTACGGTCGTATTTTCGGTCGCGTCGCGTTTATCGCGGTTGCGGATATAACGGATACCATCGCGGTCATTGCGGGTATCACGGTCGTGAATTTTTTTAAATTTCACACAATTTACCCTAAAACATAATAATTATAATTATAATATTAAGGAGTGACTAAAATAGTAACAATTTGAAAGTTTAATGAGTAAATTGAAATTTTTTAAAGTTAATGATGATTTATGTAAGTTACCCTAATTAAAAAGAATAGAAAGTTAAGTGACTCGAACCACCGCAATTCAGTCCTCTGCCTTCTTTAGCCATCTCCTATTTCCTTCTCCCACTACTTCATCTCACCATATTATTTTCTTTCTCCCAAACAAATGGATCAAATGGGTTTCATCATATCGTTATATTAAATCAAAATTCTCTTTTATTCTATGATTTTTTCAATCCACGTAAAAAGGGTGGAAGCAACCGCTCCAATGCATTGATTTCATACTTTCATTTTTCTCCAATTTTTGACTCCTCATCTCCTTCTCTGTTTCCTCTTTAGCCTCCACTCTTTAATAGTTTATTTTCTCACGAGCCACGACTGAAGTTTGGTTAATTAAGCACATCTTTTTTTCTTTGGCCTCCCTTGCTTATGTTTGTTCTTTTTTTTTTTTTGAAGTCACAGTTGAATAATGGGGATAGCGTCTCGTTACCGACGTTATTTACCGTTAAACGCTAAATTACGGTCCCGATAGATTGCTATTATCGTGATTTTACTATTCACCATGATTTTTTCGAATATAAGTTTACGACGACGATACTACAGCGAAATAGCAATCTTGTTCCACTATTTGAATCGCCTAACCCCACCTTACGCACACCTAGGCGGTGGCCTCATCCACATACATCTCAAAATCAGCCGCACGCCCACCCTATCAATTATCCTCTGCGGTGGCCCCATCCACCTTCACTTTCTTTTCCTTTTCCTTTTCCTCTCCTCTCACCGCCAATTGCCCATCTCCCACTTTGCTAACATACGCTTCCACCGCCTCCCGTGTTTTTAAACCCATGTTACTAACATCTATCTGATCTGACATGTCGAACCTATCCGAACACGACCCACCACCTCCGACAGAACACCTTCTCGCCTTTCCGGCGCCTCCTTTATCCACTCCCATGCCACTGGGAAAAGCCACCGTCACGCCTAACCCAAGGCGGCTACTGCCTTGTTGGTCGCATGATGAGACCATTGGCAAGAAGTGGCGGATGCGGTGGCTAAACGTTGTCCCATGGCTACGCCTCCTAAAACGGCCGTGCAGTGCCGTCATAAGATGGAGAAGCTCCGAAAGCGGTACCGGACAGAGATCCAGCGGGCTAGATCGATGCCCGTTTCGAGATTTGTTTCTTCTTGGGTCCATTTTAAGCAGATGGACGCTATGGGAAAAGTGCCTGATGTGAAACCCGATCACAATTCGGATACCCCGGATGATGAGACCGATGAAAACGATGATGATGACTATCACGAGTTTTACGATTATAGATACAAAAACGGAGGTGCTAATATGAAAAGTGTGCACAAATTGAATCAAAATTGGATGGGAAACAGTGACGAAGTGGAGGGGTTCGGGTTAGAATCCCCACTGGAGTTAGTATAGCTCAACCAGGGACAAGATTATATGCTGCAAGTCCCAGTTCTAATGCCAGTCCTCAGGATATCAAGTATAATATAGGAGAATCGGGATCTGGGTCAACTTATGGGGCTAGGGTTCTTAAAGGGTTTGAGGAAACACCGGGGAAAACGGCAGCAACGGTATCGGAGAAGATGGAGAGAGACGCGGTTGCAGAGATGGTTTTGGCAATAAATATATTGGGAGGCGAGTTCGTAAGGATGGAGCAGATGAAGATGGAGATGGAAAAGGAGATAGAGACGATGAGAATGGAGATGGAGATGAAGAGAAGTGAGATGATATTAGAGTCGCAACAGAGGATTCTTGATGGATCACCAAAGTGTTGATAAGGTTGAAGATAATAAGATTAGGGACTTCAATTCTCATTTCATATGTTTCTTTTTTGTTCATCTCTTTTCATTCTTCTTACTTTGCAGAATTCGTAGTGTCTGTGACTGTAATCTTCATATAGTGACAGAACCAGGAGTCCAATTTTAAAAAATATAATATAATTAATAAATCAAAATTAAGACATTCTATAAAGAAGAAGGATCTCATTACAAACTCCATGGATATTAAGACATAAGAGGAGAGAACAAATGTCCAAAATGTATTATTAAAAGAGTCCAAGTATAAAGAGAAACCCACACAAAGTACACATCTTCTTCCAGCTTTCCCGATCCCATAACAGCATAAAAAGGTGACAAATACAATATAACATTAAGGTTAAAAACGAACCTCCACGCTCAAGCGTTAGGGAGCAGAACCTACTACAAAACTCAAATCTCCTAGGTTGTACAATAAAAGAAACATCCAGATTGATTCAATTCGATTATCATAGCAAACCAAATTCTTAGCCCCTTTTGGCCAAAATATATGCATTCGCCAAACGTACCAAATAATCCAACGGATTTTAGGAATATGCTCCTACAGCCTACTCACCAAACAAGAATAGATTTGATACAAAAAGACATTTAAATTTAAATTCAAAGTGAATCTATTTGAATCCATAATCTATATTATTTATCCATGCATGTATTACGTAATAAAAATAATTTTATATTACAATTTGATTTTAAAATGATAGAAAAATAAATATCTTAAATATCTTTTTACTACAAATAATTTAAGTTAAAATCCAAATAAATTTAAAATATTTTTATCGTTTGGATCAGACCGGACGAGACGGATATGAAATTTCGTCCAACTCCAATATTTTGGGCCGGACTTATGAACCGTACGGTCCATGTAAAAGAGACATGTAGATAATTTCATTATCAACTCTATCTTCAAGGCAGAAGCTCTCTCCTTTGTGCGTAATCCCTTGAACCCTTAGCAAAACCAAAAAAGAGATATGCTTCTCCAGCCTTCATCGTTGTACAACAACCGCGTTTCGATCTCGTCAACCTCTTCTTTCTCCCGGCGGCCACCATGCCATATTCCCCGGTTCATCCTTTCGAAAACCCGAACTCTCCCGAACCTCCCAATCAAATGTTCCATCTCACAAGTCCATAGCTATGGAACAGTGGACTTTGAGAGAAGACCCATGGTCAAATGGAACGCTTTGTACAGGAAAATATCTCTCATGGAAAACCCTGAATTGGGTTCCGCCTCTGTGTTGAATGACTGGGAAAAAGGCGGCAGGAAGCTCACCAAGTGGGAACTTTGTAGGGTCGTCAAAGAGTTAAGGAAGTATAAGCGTTACAAGCAAGCCCTTGAGGTATACCCTCCCAAAAAATGAATTTTGTGTTCTCAATTTCTGGTTGCTTTGCTATCTGTTGTAGATTCTAGAAATTACTTAATAATTACTGGGCAGTCGAGTTCTTTCCCCAGATTTTGGTGCTTTGTTGTTTTGAATTTACATTTGATTTCTTTATTGGTTGCCCCATGAATATATTTGCATATTGTGGGTGTGTTGTTATTCATTTGGCAGAGCCTACTTAATGGGAAAATGTTTAGTTGCTGTTGTTGTTGTTGCTCAGTATAGTTGATGGCCTTGTAAAATTGTCAAAATTTCCGGGGAAATTAACACCTGTTTAGAACCTTTGTTCGGTATTGTTGTTGATGTTCTTGTATAGGACATCTTTTTAAAACTTTTCCGACATTGTACAGGTTTACGAGTGGATGAACAACAGAGGAGAGAGGTTTAGATTTTCTGCTAGCGATGCCGCTATTCAATTGGACCTTATTTCTAAGGTGCACGGAGTTTCAAGTGCCGAAGATTACTTCCTTCAACTCTCCGATACTTTGAAGGACAAAAGGATCTACGGATCCCTTCTGAACGCCTATGTGCGGGCAAGAATGCAAGAAAAGGCAGAGTCTTTAATCGATAATATGAGGAATAAAGGTTATGCCTTGCATCCACTTCCGTATAATGTGATGATGACTCTATATATGAACCTTAGGGAGTACGATAAAGTTGAGTCCATGGTTTCAGAAATGTTGGCCAAAAACATTCGTCTAGATATATATTCCTACAACATCTGGTTGTCATCTTGTGGGTCACAAGGATCCGTAGAAAAAATGGAACAAGTACATAAACAGATGAAAGAAGATCGAAGCATCAATCCGAACTGGACTACATTTAGCACAATGGCAACTATGTATATCAAGATGGGACTGCCTGAAAAGGCCGAAGAATGCTTGAGAAATGTAGAGAGTAGGATCACTGGCCGGGATCGTATACCATATCAGTATCTTATTACTCTATATGGTAATATTGGTAATAAAGAGGAGGTTTATCGGATATGGAAGGTTTACAAATCTATTTTTCCCAGTATTCCGAATTTGGGTTATCATTCCATGGTCTCATCTCTGGTTCGGGCCAATGATATCGAAGGGGCAGAAAGGATTTACGAAGAGTGGCTATCAGTTAGAACATCTTATGACCCTAGAATAGCAAATCTTCTCATGGGGTGGTATGTCAAAGAAGGAAACATGGATAAAGCTGAGAGCTTTTTCAATCACATGGCTGATGTGGGAGGGAAGCCTAATTCAAGCTCATGGGAGACTCTTGCTGAAGGGCATATTGGAGTCGCCAGAATCGATGAGGCTTTATCTTGCCTAAAGGAAGCTTTTGCAACCGAAGGCTCGACAAGTTGGAAGCCAAAGCCCTCCAATATTTCTGCATTCTTTAATCTATGTGAAGAAAAAGCAGACACAGAAAGTAGGGATGTTTTGATGGGATTAATACAGCAAGCAGGATATCTAAAAAATGTAGCTTATGCATCACTAATTGGATTATCCGAAGATGCTGTTGAAGATCTAAATAACCGTTATAGTTCCAACGATGAGAATGAGGATGATGATTCTGAGGTGCTTCTCAACCAACTGCAGGTCAGTACATGATAACCGTTATGTAAATCTTAGGTGCAGGGAAAGTCTTTATCTATCGTTTCATTGAAGTCGTGAGTTAGCATATCCGTTGATGTTGGCAAGGACGAACTTATAGCTATTTCTCCATTCATTTGTGCCGATGAAAGCTTAACTCAGCAGCTGAAAACCCCACCTAAATGAAGTCTTGCGGGTGCTCGTTTTAACCATGTTCAAGACGTATAAATTTGCAATTTAAGTCCGTGTAGCCACTCAAGTGGCAGAGTTTTCTTCCGTTGGTGAAAGGGATATGGATAATTTACCGTTCTCATGACTCATTGATCAAATCTTCTAGGACTTTAGGAATTTTCATTGAACCTATATATAACGCTTTGAAATTCTAAAGTTGTTTAGTTTTTATCACATTTCATGCATTTTTTACGTCAGTTATCACATGATGGGTGTTGGCCATGAGCATAACAACATTGGCATCGAGCTTCAATCACGCAAAGTTTCAATCTTTTTCTTCACCAAATCATAATTTAAATTCATTGGGATTAGTCCTTTAATTGAAGATGCCTGCCCTTTAACGACCGTCTTTATAAACCTGTTCTATAAATATATACCTCGACGACACAGCACAAATCGGTTCTTCAGCTCCAAAAACCTTGTCAGCCATGGGAGAGCTAGAAAACCCAAAAGTGATGCGAAATCTCAACTTTCTTGTCATCTCTCATCCAAAAGGTGGCTGAATATAACGATGTAGACACCGGGTTTCAGCCGCAGACGATTTCGGTCTTTCATGGCCTAACGAGGCCAACCATCTCGATCCAGAGCTACCTCAACAGGATTTACAAGTACGCAAATTGTAGCCCCTCTTGCTTTATCTTTGCTTATGTTTATCTCGATCGGTTTGCTCAAAGGCAGCCCTCTTGGCCCATCGATTCTTTCAACATTCATAGGCTGCTTATCACGAGTGTCATGGTTGCTACCAAGTTCATGGATGACATGTAAGTTTCTGATCTCTACTTGAATCAAATTATACAGAATTATGCCATCTTCATGATACTTGTTATACCTCATCTGGGTCTTCCTCAAAAGTAAATTTTTTGTTGTTATTCCTTCGTTTGTCGAGCATTAAAGCCTCTAAAATTTCATATCTTTCACATATTCATATCTTTTGGAGTTATTCAAAGTCTTTGAAATTTCACCTCTTTTTAGTATTAACATACGTTTTACGTAATCTCTAACAGATCACATATCGACAAAATTTACTATACGATAGTTATAACTATTTGTCATGCCAACTTACAACTTATGGATAACTTACGCTAACACTAGTACTAAGGGTCAATATATAAGTCACCCTATTAAGTTTACAAATGAAACTTTTTTCTCCCCAGAACTTTCTCTCTCTCAACAATTCTTCATCAGCATCTTTAGCATGTTTACTTTCTATTTTCCCATCAAAAAACCTGTGGCGACTGTCTAAATTTTAAAAAAAGTAAACCATCAAAAACCGTCATCTGATTATCAAGATAAATGCATGAATTTGATCTTGATGTTCAACTTGATATCTACATTTTTTTAAAAAAAGTAAACCATCAAAAACCGTCAAATGAACTTGCTGGAAGTAGATTTCCTATTAGGGTTAGGCTTCCACTTGAACGTAAACCCCAAAACTTTTCAGACCTGCTACTCTTACCTTCAACGGGAGATGATGGTGTTGCAGCCTCCACCGCCAAGTGCTGTAGAATCCTCCATGAGCGTTGGACTCGCGAGGACGACGACGACATTGAAAGTCCATTTGTGTTTCAGTGATGAGGAATCCGCCACCACCTCTCATCAGAAGGAACAACTTGCTGTTTAAGTCCTCCTTTTGTGTTTTTAAAGAACAAATTAATGGTAACTTAATGATAAGCATTATAGGGAACTAACTAGGCTTAATATAAAAGTAAATATTTAAATTATATCAATTTTTCTATTTAGGTCTTAAACTATTTTTCGATTATTCCAGATTTCAAGTGTATAATATTACAATCGTTATTACTTTAAGTGTCCGATTATAATATTTGTTAAAAATTTTCATTAAATAACAAGTGTTGTATTCTGATAATTTTAAAATTTTTATTTTTAAAAAATATATATTATAAACAAACTTTTATATTTAAAACAAAAAATTCAGCCCCTCACCGCCCCCTCTCTCAATTTCTCTCCCGTCCCAACCGCCCCCCTCCTGTCTCCCCTGTTCCCTTCTTCTTCCCCCTAATCGTCCCCTTCTCCCCAGCCCCCTCCCGTCTCTCCTCCTTCCCTTCCCCTCCTCCACCTTTTACCTAATATAGTATTTGGTGGCGGCGACCGGAATAACTAGTGACGGTAGTTGTGCCATCGATGAAGGTTCGATCTAGTAAAAATTCAGTCAACGATAACGACAATGACAGGTGTGGATAGATGAATTAGAATAAATGTTTTCAAAGTTTTGTTTTTTTTTAATTTCCAAATTTTTTTTATTTTTTTTTAAATATATATATATATATATATTAAAGTTTTTATTTTAAATTTATTTTAAAATTACTAGAACATGACACATATTACTTAACGGAATTTTCTAATGACCGTTATGGTTGGGGCAACTAAAATGATAAAGTTTATAATGCTAGACATCTGGATTAACAAAAAAATAGTATACGGACATAAATAAAAAACCGATATAGTTTGAACATCTATCTTTTTATTAAGCCAATTAACTAACATACAAGAGACATAAAACCTAATTAATAAAATTAGGGTCGATTAACTTTAGAAATAATTCATTTATTATATCATATTCGCTTTGTGTTTGACAAACACGTGTGTAGTATATTGACGAAGGACATCATATTAAAAAAAAAAATTGCTGACGGTCTGTAATTAATATTAAAATTGATGTCGTCGTCGATTAAACAAAAATTAAACATAAAAATAAAGAGACATAAAAATATTAAGAGAAAATTTAGATTAAAAAAGAGTAAATTTTGACATTTTGTAATCAAAATATAATTTGATTAATCTCTATCTTTAATACAATTCGAACCATTGATTTACGCAAGTAAAACTAACTAATTAAGTTACTTCAGAATCTGTAAATCGATAATTGATTAAGTTTAAGTAATTTTATAAAATAGACCTCAACATAAAATAGAAGGTTAACAACCACAAAATGATTGAATTTTATATTATTTCATATAAAATTAAGGCTAAACTACAAATTCAATCATCTAATTATCATTTTAATCATTTAATTATTTTTTCAAAACTATCACTAATTTTACGTTTTACTTTCATTTTGGTCATCCGTCATTAAAATTTTAATGATTATATTAATATATCACTATAAAATAATGTCACGTTATTATTAAAAATAAAATATATCATATCAGTAGTTCTATTAATATTTTAACGATAAATGATCAAAATTAAAAAAAATAACGTTAGTGATTATTTTAAAAAATAATAGTTAAACTATCAAAATAAAATTAGAATGATAACTGAATAAATAAATATAGAATTTATCATCAAATTAAAGATATAAGTAGATCAAATACTAAATCCAAATATTCTAAAGTCTTCAATTGATTCGACTAAACCCATCGGCTCCTTTTATCAGACCCCATTTCTTAAGCAACCATATACTGAAACGTACCCAATCCGCCGCAAATAGAAGCCCCATCAATATCACCACCACATACACTTCCTTTATCTTCGTCGGACCCATATAGATCACAGCTACCACATAAGTTCCGGCCATCGAAATAATCGCCACTTCAAGCAAGCTCTCAGAGGGAACCCACTGGTCAGTGGAGATATCCTCGCCAGCGATGCGAAGAAACCGATTGCGTTGAACACCGTGAACACCTCAAAGATCTCTGGGTCACTCGCCATCACGGCCTCTCCGGGCATCATGGTCCGCTTCTGAACCGTGTTGGTCTGCGAAATCTTCCGTTTATCCGCTTCCCAAAAGCCGCTCGGTGGGCTGAGAATGGCTTAGTACGTGACGGTCGCTATAAGGACCGCCACCACCATCAGCGCGTTCTGGGTATCGGTGGATGATTCCGAAACCTCTCTCATTAGCTCCTTCCATAGGTTCCATGAACACGAAGATCACACTGCGTTGCGGTTTGAGATGGGATATAAGTAGGGTTGGTTGATATTTCTCGGGCTTTCATGGTTCCGACTTGCTGAAACCAATGGTATATATGAATATCTTGGGAATCATTACCATTCTGAAGCAAAAGATCTAGTACATCCTTCGGGGTGAATCCACCCGAGTTTATGGCGTTTATGTTAATCCCACAAGCAACTGCTTCTCCACCAATTAATAGACTTACAATATGTAGACCGTGTAGATGATAACGGAATCAAAATATAACATTAGTAATAATTTTAAAAAATACTTACTAATTAAAACGAAGCTAAAATAATAATTGAGTGGTTAAAAATATAATATACTCTTAATTTAAATAGATACATGAATAACTCAACTTGATTAAAAAAATTCAAATAGAATTTGAGTTATAAAATAAGATTTATCAACTCAACTAACTTAAATTTTTTTAATTCTACTCTACGTAAGATAATAAATTAATGTGATAGGTCTAAAAGAAGAGAAATCAACACTTGCCTCGTGCTGTCTGTTGAAGGTTGCCTGATGTAATACGGTGTTCCCATCTATGTCTTCCCAATTCAAAACCTCCATCATCTGCAATCTCTTCGTCTCCTCGATCAATACCCTCGCAACATCTATCTGGTTGCTTGTTACAGCCAACTGGAGTACGGTCTCGCCCCGAACAGTCACTTGTTTAATCGACTCGGGACAAGCGTGCACCAGTTCCTTAACAACTTCGACCCGCCCTTTCAATGCCGCGCAATGAAGCGGAACCTTACCATATGCTCCCTTCTGAAGGCATATATCATATCCAACTCTCACAAGCTCTCTTACTATTTCAATGTGCCCGTGCTGAGGCAACATGCAACGGACCAAACCGTTCTCGTCTATCTCCCGAGCGAATTCCGGCTTCCTGATCAATACTTCCTTTGTGACCTCCACTTGTCCCGATAAAGCGGAAACATGCAGAGGGTTGCAGACGGAGTTCAAGGCGACCCGATCGAGCAGAAACGGATCTTCCTTGAGTAACGAGTGGAACGCGGATACGTCTCCGACACGAACTGCTTCGAACAATCTCGATTCCATATCTATCACTTGACAATCTGGCAAAGACAACTGTGTATGTTTATAGATGATTGCTGAATTCGTGGTGATGAAGATTGATGGGAAACGTGAACTGGGAATGGAATTTTGAAGCATGGCCATATTTTGCTTGTGAGCAAGCAAGGAATTGTCCCCACTATGGTTTCTTTTCTACAATCGCTCCACTTTTGATAACTGGAAAGCCACACCAGAAAATTCTAAAGATTTGAATCCTCACTGTATTTTGTGTAAAATAAAGAGCAAATCTTCCCCATTGTAAAAGTTCTACTTTTACAATTTTTCATTAAAGTTTTTCAACATAAATCTACTCAACCGGCCTGAGATACTGTTGGGTTGAGTCAGATTGAACTTTTAATCTATTCTAATCTAATTCAAAATATAATTCAAATTTAGAAGAATTTCATTCAACCTGATCTTTTAAATCAAAACCCGCATCCAACCCGATATATATAACTCATTTTTATTAGATAAAATAAGAACTTAATTTAAAAAACAATATATAAATACACATTATTATAATTATCTCTAAATATATAAAAAATAACTATAATAATATATCAAGTCAAAAAATCCGACCTAATTCTTAAAATAATAAACCCGAACTCTAACATAAGACAGTAATAAGATGGATTTGTGAAACAAAATAGGCTCCAATCTCATTCTACTGTTCAGTTTTTATTGGACCTTAAAAGTCCCATCACCCAAGACATCCTTGAAAATGGTCTACAATAGCATTTTAAACACCCCACCGCAAGCCCCGCCCTATGCGGTGGGGTTACGCCAATGCCTACAAAAAGCATGAGCATTGGGGTTGATTGGTTTGTTTCTGAACTAATGATGGAGAAATGGGTGCCATTAAGATCGGGAGAGAAGTGCCAAGATTATATGGTGCAAATCCCAATTCTAATGCCAGTCCTCACGATAGCAAGTATAATATAGGTGTCTTTATTTCCGAACCAATTTATAGCGTCTGTTATTGTAATCTTCACATAGTCCTGCTTTGATGTTGAATACGTTGTTTATCAGGGTAATTGTGTCAGGAAATTTGATTGTGATGGGAAATTCGATTGCCCTTGGAGAGATTGATCCGATTCATTCAAGTCTGGTAACAATATACATGCATGAGATGAATACTTAAAACAAAACCCGGGCAAAAGGGATATTTTTATTAAATCTTCACCTGAACTGTACAATGACAATAATACAGGATAGTTTTATAGAGCCAAAATACAGCAAGCGACTAGCACCTACGTTGTGTCAAATCAAGTGTGATAAACTACAGCAGTTATCATGCGGGTAAACAAATACGACCGCTCCTGCTAATAACCTGTCGAGATAAAACAACACAACAAGACACACAGTAGTCTTTGTATAAAGCATAAAACATTTTTAAGCAAATAATTCACCTCCCAACAATAGAAGACTCGCATTATTGTCTAACAGACTCATTAAACATAACTTAAATGCTAAAGTTTGTTACCTCTTAGGCATCAAGAAAAACGGAGAAAGCTGCAATCAGAAAACAAAATGGCAGACACAAACCACTAATTGCCACCGGTAAGAATTTTGTACTGACCGCAACCCCTAGGTAGGTAACAACAATAATACCCCAAGAATTTTCAAATATTCATATGGAATGAAGACTAAACCAGATACGGAAGGGATTAAGGTCCTCTCCACAGTCGACAGTACACTAAATGAGACAAGCCAACTTTGCATGGACCATCATCTTGTGATGTTATATGTTCTTAAACACATGGGGGTGAGAAAGAATGTCAGTCGCACACAATTGTAGTTGGTAAAATTCAATAATTTGTGTACATAGCAACTCTAACTAAGAGGTTAGATTCGGTATGTTTCCTTAAATCAACAAACTCTAAAAGTACCAACATGTCCACAGCTTTGTTGATTGCTGAGTCAATTAGGACTGAACTTTTCCAAAATCATTGCTCTGCTAAACCCCATTTCTAAAGCAATGACTGATATCCCACAAAGTAGAACTTAAGAAACAACAAATAGATATCCAACTCAAGAAGCTCAGAGGTCAAAAAATGTAAATTAAAGGGGTTCCATCCACCAACAACCTCCCAAGTATTTGATGAAGCAATAAGGCATTCATCTTAATAAATTAATATATTCCCTGAGATCCATATAACAACTAAAGGTGAAGAATAGCTTCATAACAAAGAACAACCTGGCACAAAAGAAATAATAAGTATTGAAAGATATGGAGGCAGTTCCTCAGTCAGACGTGTAGCGATTTTCTGCTGGTCAAAAGGAAAGTTCAAATCTTTGCCTAGTATACTATACCAGGCAACTTCAAAACCAGAAACCAAATAAACATGAAATATTTCTCTAGAAAATATCAACCAAGAAGTGTTAAAATGCAATGCACACTTAAACAAATCAGTTATCGGTATTCAAGAAACCATGCCCTTTCCATTGTTAAGATCAACTTCACATTGCATCTTAGTCTGGAGATCCCAAAGAAAAACAAAGTAAAACCAAAAGTTAGAAGTTGCATACGGCAGGTTTATGAGACAAGGTCAAGCATAACCATTAATTCCTCCAGGCTTGTATAGGGCTTCACAAGTACCAACTCAGAAATGGCAATATACTTCAGCAAGAACATCCTCCACTGATTTCTTTTTAGCATTCAGTTAGGAGCCAATAAAACTCTTCATGCTTTTCACACAAGAAAATAGCATGTTAAATGCCTTGTTTCAAACTTAATCAGCACTTGAACAAATGAGTTCAATGTGAAAAAGTATCCAAAATCCAACCAAACTTAAATAAAAACTTTATTCTCTCCTCTAATACTTGTGATAAATGCTTCCAAATTATCCTTTGGGAGGAGTTCTTAAAATACAAACACTGCTGTTCATACAGAGCATACTCTAAGCACTAGCTGTATTAATCTCTAAATGAGAGTACTTTTTCCTTACAGCATAAACATGAATACTCGCAAATAACCTCTTTGATAAACTAGAAACAGCTTGAATGAGCACAGAGCCTCTCACATGAAACTTCATCCCCAAAACTTTTTCCTTCATTGTATGGAGGCTACAGCATTTGGCATGCTTCTATCCAATACCATGAGTATAAAATACGAGCTTCAAATTTTCCACGTCCTACAGCAGCCTCGTTGTCTTTGAAATCTGTTCCATAGACAAATTCAGTAGTAACGATATGGCTATCTATCTCCTTGGCAACACATCTTTCAGAAGAACATAGAAAGCAACTTCTTCGGGAAGCCCTAATATCCATTAAAAATACACTAATCCTAAAGAATATTGCACTTCCAGGAGTACAACATGAAGAGGAATGGGGAAAATTTAACATACTTACATCAGTAGTATGATCCAGAACCACCACCACCCATGTAACTGCTGCCACCCATACCACGGCTAGAATACATAGACGAGTAAGAACTACCACCAACCTGTCATGGAAGCAAAAAGAGAATACCTTTAAGCCTGTGTATCTTTTTCACATTTTAAAAAAGAAAAAGTGGAATAAGACATACATCAGATCCCCTCCGCATGTAATCACCACCATAACCAGAGGATGCGTACATTCCTACAGTATCACTGCCACTGAAAGAACCTGAAACCAAAGTAGAGTAAATAATTATACCACAAATAAAAAATCAAAACTAGACCACCACCCATTCACGGGAGACTTTTTTTCTCTTCCTTTAACAAGTCAACAGCAACGTAAATTTCACCTCCGCCATAGCTCATTCCCTGACGACTGCCATATAGCCCATGTGAATCCTGACTGCCTGATATTGAACTCCTGCCACCACCATATCCCAGACTGGATCTCCCAAACCTATCAAAATGAGACAGCCCAAACCTATCAAAATGAGACAGCCCAAGCCTATCAAAATGAAACAGAAGATGACTCCTGAAAGACGAAAATAAACAAGAGGACTACTTATATTTCCAAGAGATAATAACAAACCTATCATCATATGCATCTACATACGGTGGAGCTCCAGCAGCAAGTTCATAGTCTAGACGAGCCCTTGAATGCCTGACACCTGCATCAGAATATCGTGGAGGAACATCGTCCTGATTCAACAAGGAAATACGCAGCATAATCAGCTAGGAAATGGTTGAATCAAGCTAATTAAAACAAAATAACATTAAGAAAAAGACCAACCATTGCCGAATATGTTCTCTTTGAACCAGACATAGAGTCATAATCATGGCCACGCCCCTCATGATAACTAGGAGGCCTTTCAAACCTTTGAGCATATGCATCATCCATATAGGGTCTCCTTGCAGCAGGACGAGCAGTGCTTCTAGGATAATCAGCGTAGCCAGAACTGCGAGAAGAATACTCATCTCTATATGATGATCGTCTCTCAGGGGCAATCCTAGAAGCATAATCCACCACATCTCGGCTTCTTGGAGGAGGAAGCTCATTACGTCGACTGTATTCCCTCTTCAAAGTACTCTTTGGATATGGTGGGACTACAAAAATAAAAGAGCAAATAAGTAAAACTAAATCAAAGTTGGAATTTTTAAATCTAGACAGACAATTCAATAATTGAGGCATACCCGGTGCTCTTCTATCATAAGATCTAGGAGGAGGTGGAGCCAAAGGCCTGCTTCTAGCTGCTGCAGACATAATAGGGCGTCTATCTCTTAATCCAACAGGCCTCTTCAGACTAGGTGGTGGTGCACGACTACTAAATCCTCTTATACCGCGAGGATGGGGACCACGAGGAGCAGGATTACTCCATGAACCCCTCATAACTCGTCCAGATCCATGCCCAGACCTGAAACTATCACGGCCATGATGCTTACCTCTGCCTCTCTGATGTGGTCTTGACAACCTTGCTCTGACTTTAGCCTGAAAAAGAAAAATGTGCTAACCATTAAACAAGATGATATGCAACTCATGTGAACACAAATATACCAAAAATTTTGACTAACCTTGTTGTCGCCTTCACCCAACTCGGTATTGTTAATGCTCTTAGCACATGTGACAGCAGCATCATGAGAATCAAACGTAACAAAGCCATAATCCTTCCTCTCAGCTGATGGCATATTTCGGGCAAGTTCAATCTTTTCAATTTCCCCATATTTTTTCAGCAGCTCTCTGACGCGATCCTCATCCCAAGAAGGAGGTAGGCAATCAATAAATATGGCCCTAACCTGAAATTAGAATGTAGAATAGTCAACCTTATAGGATAAAAGGTCTTCACGTTTCCAACATGCCTAACGCATAGGCACCTGAGGGTGTGTTTAGAAAGCCACATAGTAACTGGGTTTAGGTGTAATTGCTTCTAGTTACACATGTTGCATATTTCGATAACCAATGTATTCAATGGATCCCACTAAATTGAGTACAACTGGGACACCGCATTTACACTATAGATCTCAACAAGAATTGAGAACTGAGTGAATTACACACATAAATGGCCATAATAGCTTTCAAGCGTTTTTTATTCATTTTTTTAATTCATGGTTCTTACTAAATTGTATGTAATTATACTTTGCCAGCCAAAAAAGTCTAAAAAATTAGAAATCCTAGTACTTACAGGAGTTTGTGATTACTTTCCTAATAATTACACTTCCTTGTAATTACTCAATGATTTCCAAACACACCCTGAATGTTAAAATACTCTTGGTAATCCATACAACCTAAGTAGAAAGAGAACTGTTACAAGTTACCTGTGCCATGATTTCATCACCAGGGTCAATGAACGAATCTGCAAATGAAACCTTTGCAGGCCTATCAACCCCAAATAAAACATCTCTTCGTTGAAGGTGCTTAAAAGCATCCATGGCCTCTGAACGAGAAGCAAATTCCAAGAATGCAAAACCTCGATTCTTTCCTTCATTGTTGGTATCTTCTACCAATGTTAAATCCTCAACATTTTCAACTCCATAATGTTTCAACTTTTCTTTCAACTGGAAAAACAAACAAACGAAAAAATGTTAGGAACATATTATCTGCTTATAACATGTTAGAAACATGACTCACAATTGTTAATGGCCTTAAAGGACAATCATTTAGTACACTGCCAGTGGAAAACAAATAATTCCACAAGCACCCTTAAGATGCTGATAAGTGTCTTATTCATTTACTTTTTAAGCTTTAAATACATTTATAATCTTAAGAGTGCTTGTGGAATTAATTTTTTCCACCAGCAGTCAAATAATTATCCTGGCCTTAAATGAGCCAATGTACTTACTGCTTCCTTGGTCCATGTCCTGCATATGTTACCCAGGAAAAGGGTATCGCTGTCTTGACTTGGGGTAACACCACATTGTTTCCCGTTAATCTAGAAATTCATAAAAAAAACATATTCAAGGTGGGAGGTCAGTCAATTGTTGAATTATCACTTTGACAAAAAAAAGTATATATTGAAGATTCAACAATACCACAGGATGCTTAAGTTCAGTAAATGCTCGTTTTGCTTGTTCTACAGTTGCAAAACGCAAGAATGCAAACCCCTTGTTCTTCTTTGTTTGAGGGTCTCAGCCTAACTTCAACATTTCACCAACTTGGTAAAGACTTTCCTAATGTCATTCTCAGTGGCATCCTCTAAACCCCCACAAACACTTCAAATCCTTACGTTTCCGTCTTTCTTGAACAACTTGATGTCTCTCGTCATGTCAGCTTCAAAAGCCATCAGCATGCTCACTTCCTCCCAACATGCTCATCATCTCATCGCCTTCTATTTTTCTTTCTTGAACATCTTCATCATCAAACAGATCACCCTCTCTCCTCACCATCCTGTCCTCATGCTCTTCTCTTCTTCTTCTATTCTTCAGGGTCATATTCAAGTTCATTATCATCCAATTCTAACTGTTCATCTTTTTCATACTCCTGAATAGACTCCTTCACCTCATTCTCTACAATGAAAAAAAAGGTAGAGTAGTCCAGCTAGTCAAGAATCAATCACTTTAAAACAATTCAAACTAATTTCTAATATAAACAAAGATCCCTAAACAACCCAAATCCCCGAAGGAAAATAATTATCAACTCTTGTAAATATAACCCTTTGTAAATCCTCGCCTCTGACGCAACATAAAGCATAGAATTATAACATGCGAAATTCCAAAAAAAAAACTCAAAATTACAAATAAAAGCTAGAAATTTTCATAATATCGACGTGTGCAAACAACAGAAGAACGCCATATAAATTTTAAAATTGCAAATAACCCAATCCCATCCCATCAAATTGGAATTAGATCAGATAAAACCAAAAGGCTTACCCTTCTCGACGGAATTCAAATCTAATCCGTCGTTTTCCTTCACGTCAGTCTCCTTCTCATCGGCCACCACTTTTTCGTCCACGAACAGCTTCTCGTCAGCCTTATCATCCACGATCTCCTCCGGTACCTCTTCTTCCCTCGTTTCGGAAACCGGAGCATCGGCCTCCACTACGGACTCCGGTGGAGGATTGTCGGATTTCGACGCCCCTCTATTTGACCTCAACGTTCTCTTAGGGCCAGCTGACGCAGACCCTCTCTTCGCTAATCTCGGAGGCATGTTTAAAAACCTACAACGATTGAAATATCAGAAATTGATGACTAAGAAAGCGCTAACCGAATAGGAAATCCCAAATCTGATAAAACCCTAGATTGGTCGAAACAGATTCCGAATTGAAGATTAGAAAATATAAAGTTACAGTTAAAACCCTAACCTTAACTATGAGAGAGAAAATCGAGAGGAGAGTGAGAATAATAATAACAAAAATTATACTTAATAATATAAAGAAGAAAATGAAGAATTCTGGAAATTTGGGCCTGAATTTCTGGAACTCAAACGAGAAAATTTTATACGAGCTGGGCTTATATAAGCTAGGGATTATTGGGTATTGTTACTATGAGGGGAGGGGTAGATTATAGGTCTGAGTGGAATGGTTTCTATTGGTCAATGGCCTTTCTAAAAATATATAAATATTTAATCATCCAATTATTTCCGTGATTTTGGTTTGAATAGTAAATTATTTTTTTCAAAATCATACATAAGTTTATATGATAAACTATTTCATATTCACGAAACTTTAGTCTTTGCATCGATTTCACCCTTTAATTTTGAAACGTTTCAATTTTAACATTAAATTTTAGTTTTGTGTAAACATTGAGCCATTCAATCGTCAACAAGATGATGATGTGGTTGTTTTCTTCTCGTAAACTTTAATTTGTGAATTCAATTTTACAATCAATATTTTTCTATTAATTTCTCACCCAAAAGGTGCAAGAAGCGCATCGTTTGTGCCTGCGTAGAAGCAGAAGAAATGTGTATCTACTATTTTACATTGCGTTTGTATCTCCGAAGACGGTTTTTCTGATGCCCACATGCATCCGGAGCCTTAGGTCCTCCTAAGAACACTTTCGAAAACTATGGTTTCTGACGATTGAAAATGAATGGGGAAAATCATAACTTTATTGAAGAAGATAATGGGATACATTAAAAAATTAATTTTAACTTTAATTTCAACACCAAATTGTCATGACATATGGTTGTTAATGGATTAACGATCTAATGATATAATTAAAGACTTTATACTTTCACTCTTATTTTGGTCATTAAATTTTAAAAACATTATATTTAATCATTAAATTTTTGTTAAACTTTTTTTTATTTTTTTCTTTCATCATTTTTACTCTTTTTTTCTTTCTTTTTTCCTTCCTTTCATTTTATCTTCATCTTTCCATATCTCGCCTATTACTCATCGGAATCAAACATCGTGTCAATCACCGTCGATCGTTGTAGAATGCATCTCAAAAGTTCTCACTAAATTCGTTTCATCCTCTTGAACAAATTTAATGTTCGTTTAATTGAAAAATATTTCAAACTTCATAAATTTAGCGTTGAACATTTCGATTTTTTATTCTATAATCTTTATTGCCTATCATTGGATGAAACTCGAATGAATATATATTACTCCCGTCTTAAGGGAAACTTCTCTATCATTGAGATCTTTAAACGAAAACTTCAATCACAACATTATATTTTATTATAATATTATTGATATTCTTACACGATTTGACTCCTTCAAGCCTTTGCTTCCCCCTTCCCCCTTCCCCCTATTCTAGATCTTACTATCCAAAACGGACCATATGGAGTATAGCCACCCTTGTATGTATATATCATGAAGAAACATGAACAATTGGCCAATCTAAAGGTGAAAAGGGGCCAATGAAATGCATGTTGCTAGGTGCGAAAGCATATATTGATGTTCATGGAATCAGTGTTATAGGCTTGTCAGGTTTTCCTTACCATCACCATTTTTATGTTGAATTTTTAAGACATTTTGTTCGTTTATTATACAATATTTAATAGAGTATAAATTTAGATTTAGAGGATCGGAATAAGATGATTTAAAAATTTTAAGTTTAACGATCACCAACGTCGATGGTTGATGTAATTGGTCGCCATAATAAGTGATCGACAAAATCTAAGATGATTTCTATATAACAAAAAATTAATTTTAAAAAAAGCATGTTAGGTCACATAGTTAAAGAGATAGCGATTGAGTGATAAAAAAATTAATATTTAAAGTTTAAAGATTAAATTAAAATATTTTAAACTTAAATGACCAAAATTTAAGCAAATATAAAATTGAATGATGAAATTTGTAATTTACCATAAAAATCGAATTCTAAGATGTTTAAGTTAATGATGAGGTTTCCATGAATTTCGACATCCATTATGTGGTGACCAACTAAAACTACTAGTTATATTACGCGCAGCCTCAGGTTCCTTGGTCACAGCCGCCTTAAACCTCTTCCAATCGCGGAGGACGACCTTCAAATCCATAAACTTTGCATCTATATGGCGGCAACAATTCGCATGAACCGTCATTACGACACTAACATCTCGACAATCTTCACAAAACCCACTGAATTACCTCGTCTCCGAGTACCTTACTCGGAGATCCAAGTCGACTATAACCCCGTGTGGCAGCAGGTCTAACAACACATCTTGTTCTTTTTTTCCCGTGGAATTGTCCTTGAGAGAGTGATCGTATTGTTGTTTGATCTTATGTGGCAGAAGCCGGTGTTGATCAAATTATGATTGGGTCGTTGATCGCCGTTGAACATGTCAATACTAATTTGGAGATCAGTTTTCTTTTGGCCTAGCTTCGTAAATGGATTCCGCAACCACATTACACATGTGTCTTGATAAAAATAAAAATAAAATTATAAACATTTATGTAATTAAAATAAGACATAGTTGGTGTTCTAATGATAAACAATAATTTTAAAAAACTTTTACGATTAATAATATTAATTTAATTTATATTATTTTTTTGGAGTATTTCTATCCTAAAATAAAATATTAGGGACCAAAATACTAAACAAATAGAGCTAAAGTGACTACTTAATCAAATATTGAATATTTTTTATCTTAAAATAAAATGTTATGAGCCAAAATACTCTAAAATAATAGTAGAGGCCAAAATAATTATTTAATCAAACGTTAGATATTAATAATTATAAATATAAAGAGATCATTCAGTGTTAAACTAAAGTATAATGTTAATGAAGTTTAGTTTGATCCGGATTGTGACCGATAAACGTCAATATCATTGATTTAAAGATTGTGAATGGTATGAATTGTCTGGGTATTATATCAAAAGAACTTTAAGACTACCAACAATTCGTTGGTCTAGCAGGACAATATATTATATCTTTCAAGTAAGGTAAAGTGTCTGAATCATGATATTATGAATAGAGCAAACTAAGCTTGATGAATTGCTCCATAATAAATTTCGATAGTATTTAATCTGAATTAATTAATCAATAAATTAAATATTTGAAAAAGAGACAAAATACACAAATGATCCATCGACTATAGATTGTTGTTTTATTGAGTCTAATGATTAAAAGTTACAAATTTGTCCCTCAAATATAAGATGCTATTTTGTTGAGTCACCTAACTATTCATAAGTTTCAAAATCAACCTTATCCATTAAAAAATGGACGCTTGTATGAGGTGGACGTTAATTTTCTAATTGAGATTTGATCCATAAAATACAACTAAAACGATTAAATGATCATATTTTATCATATCTCAGTCAACGAGTTAACGACCACCTCAGACAAACACTAATTTTTTTAACGGAAAATGACGAGTTTGTAACAAATAAATAGTCAGGGGACATTTTATAACTTTTAATAGTCGGAATACTCAAAAGCAATGTCCTATAGTCGAGAAATCATTTTGTAATTTTTAATAGTCAATGAACTTAACAAAGTAACACCCTATAGTTAGGGGACCATTTTTGTACTTTACCCTAAAAAATAAACAAAACTATAAGACTTAAGTCCCAAGTACGAGCATAGAAGATATGTGCATACCGTGAAAACAAAATTGTATCTACGCTTCAAGACATCCAGGAGGAAAAACGTTCTTCTCCACATCACCTTGATAAAATCCGGCGACAAGAAAACCTTCTCCTCCCGAAAATCGACACCGTCCGTCACAAGCCGGTAACAGTGCAACCGCTTGAACACACACCGCTCGTGAGCCGTCTGATCCACGGTGACGAGGAGCAGATGGTCGACCGATGGCATCGTACCTTCTCCGAGCCAAAAGCTCTCCAAGAAGAGGTCCAGCATTGTCGTCTAGGCATCGACACTTTGCTCGACGTAAGCTCCGTTGACAACAGCGATGATCACCGTCTTGTTCGGCATGGAAGCTTCCTCTAATGCCAAATCCAGCTCGTCTTTTACAGGGAATTTGAAGCTTCCATCACTTAGAGAGGCTGATTGTGAATTTGAAGCTTCTTGGATGAAATTAAAGAAGAAAAATCTTCCATCTTTGGTTAATCCAGCAGAAAAGGGAATTAAATCTGATGAACTTTACTTCCATTTTTTGTTAATCCAGAAATGCAAGTAAAAAAGTTACAGAAAAATATCTCTTTAAACTCACTACAATCAACTTTAAAATTTTAAACACAAAATTCATAATGAGTTTTACAGGAAAATACGACGATGGGTGGCGGCCACTCAAGCCCTAAGGACAACGACGACGCCCTGCAAAGAAGCAAAAGGAGAAAGTCAGAGAGAAGAAACGGGATTTGCAATATGGAAATATGAGTGAGCATCTTGAAAATAAATACCAAAAAATGGGGAAAAAATCTAAAACCTAATATATATAACGGTAAGATTGTAATTATCCGGGTGGATGGGTCAATTTTTTTTATTCTAAACTTAAACTCCTTTCGTCCTTTATTCTATTCTTTTCAAATTCTATCTTTTCTGAACTCAAATTTAAAAAAAATATCTTTATAAGATCGGGTCAAATTAAAACTAGTTTAATCCATATAATATTGTCAACCTTAGTTCGTGAACAGTTCAACACTATTTGCGGTCTCATAAAGGGTCATGCCAAGCCTGATAATACCTACATGTATCAAAATTTGAACCAATGCCTCTATCAAGGAGATGATTCCTCCTGGTGCCCTTGTTTCCTGTGTTCGGATTCCAATTTCTATGGGACAATGCCATGAAGTACATTAATGAGGCTGTGCCTCGGAGCACGCAAGGAATCACAGAAACGTAGTTTACAAAACTGAAATCCAAGAAACAAAGGGAATATTGTTCTCAGCTTGAACGCATGCATGGGTGTTTCATACAACAACAATCCAGGAACGGGTGCAAAATTTTGTTAAAAAGTGAAATTTTATAGTTTTTTAGAAATTATAAACTTTTAAAATTTAAATGACGAAAATATATTATCAATATAAAATATAAAAAAATATCTAAAAAATATGATAACTTCAAACTTCCAAGGAAGATGATTGCCCGATCGTTTTCTCTCTATTCATCCATGGCAAGCACCAAGTATGTCGCTAGATCTCTCTCCTCTACAGCTACTAATAAATGAAAGTACCAACAACCAGTTGGTCTAGTGAGATAAAACACTAGGTCTCTTAAGCAATGTTAGAGATTCGAATCCTGACGTTTGCGCCCTCGCCTCTATAGTACCCGATCTGGATTAGTCGGTCAATAGATCGGATACCAGTGATTAATTCAAAAAAAAATGAAAACTTACCTTGTATTTCTATTACTCTTTGATTAGGGTAAGATTTCATTCGAGATGAATGGAAGTATTTAATGAATCTAAACGATCATATCTATATTATCAATAAATCAGATATAAATGTTTTAACATTGAAACTTCAAAAACAATGAAAAGTCCCAAGTAATGTCTATAAGCCATAACCATAAATCAGTTAATATAAAGTTAAAAAGTGGCAGGAATCAGTTACAACAGTAATTATTATTAAAAGTAATATTTTCAATTAATACAACCGAAGATATTACGTTATTAGTAACATTTTCAATTGTAAACCTAGTTTTAAATTGAAAATGATAATAGTTTAAATTAAAATTCATCTTAGATTCATTTTAAATTAGATTACTGCATAACAAAACAATCCGTGAAAATAAATGTTTCAATCGGACAAAACACAACGTACGAGGGGAGTCCATCCCAACCGACAAATAATAAGTGCTTTCAAAGTTTTAACCCTGGTCCCGAATTTAGGGCAAAATGGTGACATTGTTTTCAACAATCAATATGCTGTTTCATTCATGTCCACGTTCATTTCATTTACCAAACACAGATAAATCGGTGCTTTTTTCCTTGCTCTAATTACTTGTTTCCATCTACCTTTTTCCCATGGTATAATTGCACTTTTTAGTAATTTATAACATGCAAAAATTTCAATATTTGATATGATCAGTCCAAATGTATATCTTTTAACACCATTAACCATTCATCAATAACATAAACATAAGTAGTCAACGAGTGTTACTACAAATAGTTAAAATTTAAGAATTTAAACTTATAAGGTTAAGTTCGAATTCTACCAACTAATCTTATTACCGATACTCTTGGTGTGTAATCTGTAAATTCTTATGTAAATCCTAATTGAATCTTAAATATGTTATGATATTGGATTAAGAGTCACCTGACTTAAACTTTTATGTAAAAAAAACATAAAAAAAACAAATTAATTTAAAATGATTAAATCATAATTTCAGTATAGTTAAAAGGACTAAAACCGGTATTATACCTTTTTGTATATAGTTTGAATCATTTGATTGGCAGGAACAGAATACCGAGAGGTGATTAAAAGATGGATCTTTAGCTCATTCATTTGGTCGACGAAAACAGAAAACCAAGGTGATTAAAAGATGGATCTCCTCTATATAATCATCGTATTCGAATTTGAATTAATCGAACAATAAATTAAACATGAATCCTCAAAATCCCCAGAAAGATACGAAAATTATAGAAATCGTTTGAACATTTCTCATTAACGAAGAACTGCACAACCCAATTCCTCCACTCTCCTTATAAACATCCACGCCTATCAACCATCAAACCCCAGAAAAAAGAAGGATAAGGATAATTAACAGAAAAAACGAAAACCCAGAATCCCATCGAAGTTTCTTCTTCTTTACGATCATCTTTTGCTCTCTTGATCCACCCAAAATTGTTTTTTTATACCATATCACTCACTCTACAAAGTAAACATTACGACACCGTAACAATTCCCGTCCGTACAGTTTTGTTGGGTGTGGAGCTCTTGGAATCCGATTTCCTTATAGATCTACCTGATTTCAACTTCTTTTCCCTCGCTTCATCGAGCTCCATCTGCTCTTGCCTGCATTCTTTGCTGCAAAACGGTGTGTTCCCTCTGCAGAAAGAAGAAAAACAACGATACCCATCAGAAAAAAGAATCAAAACCTTTCGTGATTTGTACACGAGAAATCAAAAAAGTTGAGATCGAAACTGCAACATGAACAAACAACTGACCTGTACATGAAGATATCGGAATTGCGAAGCGATTTGCCGCAAACGGAGCAGGAATCGAGGTAATGGGCCTCGTAGTTATCTAGGCAACCGGAGTAATAATAACCCGACATGATTTGCTACTGGAAAAGTATAAAAGTAAAAGAGAATTGAGCAGGAGGATGGCCAAAAGGGTGAGTTTTGTTCTTGCTGAAAGGGGGGGGGGGAGCGAAAAGGTTAAAGCTTGGAAGGTATTTATAAAGCAAATGGTGCTTACAAATTAGAGCTTAAAGCTTAGCGCTTTTAGAAAGAAAAGAAAAAGGAAAAAGCTTTCACTTTGTGCAATCAAGTGAAGCACGGCCTATTGTAAAGACTTAAGACTATTAGGTAAAAGTATTATACAAGCCCTCCTACTATATCACAACTTATATTATGATCCCTAAATAATTTCTTTAAGTAAGTATAACCATTAGTTTTATTGAATAGATAAGAAATATAACAAAATTATAAAAATAATTTATATTAAATCATATTAATAGACCACTCTTCCTAAAATCATCAAAGTGCATAAATTAATCACTAAAAAAATAAAATAACATCATGTAAATAAGGGGTTAAAAAGCCAACCAAATAACTTGGAGAAAATAATAAATACAAATAAATATTGATATTGACAATGAAAGATAAACATCACCAACAATAACATAAAAATGCATATAACAATGATATCACATTGATAAGTCGTCTTTATCACAACTAAGTGCGACCTATTATTAGTGATTGTATCAATAAAAGAGGTTCAATCCAAAGATCCAAACCAATTATAGATAAAAAATATAATCAAATAAATATTAATTATAAATACGACATCAAATTTAATCATAAGAAAAGAATAACGATGCTACAATACTAAACAAATAATGTGTTACGAAAAACATACATAATCTCTTATCATATTCACTTATTACATACAATATCTCCATATCCTAAATTTACATTAGATCCAATAAATATCACATTGTATTTTAAAATCTTAATTTGACTCTAAAATTTAATTTAATACCCAAACTATTTTTCATATCCAATTAGATACTAAACTTGACCCCAAAGTTTAATCTTAGAACCAAAAGAAAGTTGAAGCACTAAATTAAATTTCAAAGCCAAAGGTAAATACAATAACATATATACACACACACTGTTTCAAACTAATTTCATATCTTTTAATCAATTCTACCTCATAAAATTAACGATTATTCTCTTAACTGCTGCAAATTCGTTTTAACAAATACAAACATCAAAATGAAAATTTTGGTATAATATAGGGACATGTGCTGTACTTGTACCAGTCAAATCTGACAACAACAGGTTTCGGACTCTGATTGGTTCTGCTGCGAAAGTAAGTGGTTTTCCGATACGAGCAACGCTTGCAAATCCAAGGGCGGATTCGAGATCAAAAGCTGTTTAAATCCATTGGCTGATAATCGATTCGCCATATCTTCTACTTTCTCCCAAATTTAAAATCATATTTATTTTTTAATTCAAAGTAATCGAATAATTCCCTTTTTTATATTTTATAAGGTCAGTCCTATACTGTTGGGTTTTTATTGTACATCGATGAAATATTTTTCAATTGTCGGTTTTAAATTTAACAAGTGTTCCTTTAGCCGAATTGTTTATTGATTAATTATGGAGTTTAGAGTTTAATTAATTGGTGATTACGTTTCCGATTAATATTATTTTAGCGTTTCTACGTCACCGAGAGATTCTTCGTGTAATTAATTATTTCTTGTGGTTCAATGAACTCAGCTCTGCGTTGGATCTTCGAGTTGAGTTACACACTTACACTTGTTTTTGCTCTTTGAGATCTCAATGTGTATAGAGAAAACACGTGTTACGATCAACGAGAATGTAGAAAAATATTGTATTTCATTATGTTGACATTTGATTTTCGAGATTTGAATTTAATTTGGCTTTTAAAGTTTTATATATCTTATATTATATTTTAATATAAATATTAGTATTAGAAAAATAGAAAAGCATGTTTAATTATATAAACGATTGAGTGTTTATTTAATAATTACAGAGGATACATGGGATAATGACCGAACAAAACAATATTTTTTCTTCCATTTTCCTTTTTAAAATAATATATTAAAAACCTATTAAATCTTTCATTAGAATTCGAATTCAATTTTAAATGATTTTTTTTATGGAAAAATAACGGCATATAAAATAATGAACAAAGGGAATTTTTTGTGTGCGGCCCCTGGATTTTCCGGAAGTTAAGGACCGCTTGTTGTTTTATTTATATTTTTAATACAAATTTTCCCAACTGAGATTGAGATCAAGGGAAACAAAAAACACTTGGAGCTGACTAGACGTAGGCCCCACTCAGTGGAACACAACCCAACAAAAAACCATCGAAGAATCAGGGCCCACCTGACTCATCACTGCGCTGGCCATAGGGTCCTTGTCCGTTGATGCTGCCCGTAAAACCCGGGTAGTACGGGCAGCAGCAACATCCAAATTCCCGAAGGTATTTACCTTTTTCACTTGTCCCCGGGTACGTGCGGCCCGATGGGATCGCCAGCGCATCACGATGGAATTATTATTCCACGTGGCAGCTAAACGGGAAAACGATACCGAGTTATTGGAGGGTACACGAATTTTGTTCAAATCACTGAGTTGGATGGGTGTGGGTCGGATTCGTCCGCTATAGGGGGAATCAATTATTGAGGTGTGGACCGCTAGCACGTGCTTATTCCCCCCTATTGTTGGAACTCGGCCGTGTAAGTTATCATTAGAATATTCAAATTTATTATTTTTTTTAAAATAAAATAATTATAAATATAAAAAAAACTAGTTTTTTTATCACTAATTTTAACAAGGACACAGCTTTCTTTTAATAAAATTCAAATTTTACCATTTGTAAAGAACAATTATCCTTATAAAAGTATATATTTAAAATCAATTTAACATGAAATCAAATCAAATCAATCCAATTTTTTTCTGTGGGCGGATGACCCCTGAATTAATCTCAAATAGGTATCCTTTTCCTATCATATAAACTTTAATGTTGTGGATAACTATGAAAAAACCACTTTAATAATATATATAGCAGTTGACCAACAATAATTGATTTGGTCTAAAAACATTAGACATTGTCTCCAAATTTTTTAGAACAAAAGTCCATGTATTGATCGACTATCAATTATCTATGCTTTTACATATACAAGTCCCATTTACCAAATTAGCGTAATTTTTTTTTTTTTACCTTTTTCACTATGAAATAGTAGGTTGAATTGTAACAGATATCCTCTAACTTTAAAACATTCTAATTTAATAATTTAAAAAAATATTCATGAACATATTTAAAACAAATGAATCAAAGTTGCATGGAGAAAGTTTAGACCTAACATGGTGGCTTATACTAAACCTAAAGAATTAGTAATTTTCTCACCAAGTAGTCTTTTTATAAAGAAAAAAATATAAAAGGAATAAGCAGTCTGAGTAGATGCAAAGCAAGCAGAGGAATTTGTTTAATCATATATTAGAAATAAATAAATAAAAATACCTTTCTCCTTTGGTTGTTGAAGTGACGATGATTCTTATATATTATGAAATATAAAAGTTTGACAAGGTAAGTACATTTTCAAGTCCCAAGCTTACATATTTTATGTTAACTTACCTGTGATCTGTGGACTACAATAACCAGCATGTCAAATACTCCACCACCTAAATTTTATATAAGTATATATATATCAGTGCTGATATCTAATTCCCTTTGCTGCTTTTATGCTACCATGGGTTATCGAGATTCGAATCTTCGACCCGATATCAATCGAGATTCGAAAATAATGCAACTCTTCACCACTACACTGCTAACTTGGTCGACTAGTCCTAGTGTATTTTGATTTATATATCAAATAAAGTTATCCAGTTTCCTCTTTATTAACCAAGGAGAATCTATTTAGATATTGGTTCAGCTTTCAATATAGAAATAAATAGAACAATATCTCTTCAGAATAGCATCAGCATCCATGAGATAGATGTAAAGGAAGAGCACTAACCAATGAAAATAATTGCAACAGGCACTTTTAGCCTGTGAGAGCTGAGTTGAGTGCACTATGAACATCGATTCCGATCTGTGCTTCAGCTTTCTCCAAATCAGTTGTGGCTGAGCTCAGCTTCTGGGTGAACTCCGAAAGTCCTTTCTGAACAAGATTAGCATCGATTTGATTGAGTGGGGCAGCCTCGACAGCAATTATATCTGCGAATGAGTTGGCATGGATGAAAACAAAACCGCTGCTGACGAAATACTTTGTAGTTTCGTTTCCTTCATGCACCGACAGCACACCAGGCTTCAGTTCCGCAATTGTTGCTACATGTCCTGGAAGAACACCCATCTGTCCGGTTGTGGCTGGTACAATAACCATGTCAACCTGGAAACAGAGAGTTCAGGATTCAAGTGATCCATATAAATCATAACATATAGTATATGATTTTAGACATCATTATTTTCTCTTTATTCACTTCCTTTATTGGAACATAATCGCAGCAACACCGTGAAAAGTTGCATTCCTGTTTCAAGTTACACAGGCTCGACATTCGTGGGACAACTCATACATCTCCCTCATTGTTTCCATCAAAAGGGTCTCTAGGGCAGGGATAGTACAATATTTTAGCCAGGGACAAAACCAGGATGAAACCTTTTTTTTGTTTGGGGGGGGGGGGAAGGGTATAAATAGTAATAAAATGGGGTGTCATGGTCTAATTGTTAAGCCACCAATTTAAAATTTAAAAACTAGGGTTAAGGGTCTAATTTGCCTAATTTGATAGTGATGAGGACCTAACTATTTAAACCAAAAAAATGGGAGACCAAGACTTAATTTGTCTTATATTTGAGATTGACAGGGACCTAACAAATATTTAAACTGAAAAATTGGGGTCAAGGTTTAATTTATTTAGCTTCAAAACTACAAGGGAAGGCCCCTCCCACCCTCCAAGTGGCTCCGTCCCTGACTGTAGCTTTACTTCATTATTTTGAACATTGCTCAAACTTAGCTAAAGAGCATGAAAAACTAATCACCTCACTCTTCACGGAATGGTTGGGTGCGTGGCGAATCGAGAAAGAATGATGTAAGGTCAGATTTAGATGAAAATCCAGGAGATTCCTTAATGGCCTTTATGTAGGAACCTTTAGAGAAAAATAGAGATTGAAATGGAAAAAGAATGTTTGAAAAACAGTAACTTCAGTCACAGAAAAGATTAGCAAACTTGATCAAATATCAGCATTGTCACCATTTTTTATGGACATAAATAAGTGATAGATTCACAACTGGTTTGATAGTTAGGGCGCAATTATTTTGAGTTGCACACCTCCATATCACAAAAGCAATTTATAATCATAAAATCTGAAAATAATAGTCTTTGTGATACTTATGTGGGGTTCCATTCAATAATTTTGAAAACAAAATAAACTAAAAACAAAAAGTTCTTAACATAATCAGGAATATTAAGGAGCTAATATGCGAACAGATAGGCTTCTTCATACTAAATACAACTCTTCACTCTCTTTGTAATGACCCTTATCAATGTCACCGCAATTCTAGTGACCATTTGTAAAGAAGTCACAACCAACCAAGCATGTCATATGACTTTAACTCCTAGCTCTAAAACGAGTACCCAGATTAAGATGGACAAGCAAGAAACAACAAATACTAGAAAGTCACTTGAGATGAAATTAGTTACAAGTATCCAGCTAAAGTAAATTCAGCTTTCCAACAACATACGCTGTTTAAAGTTTAAACCAGAGAATGCCAAGAAAGTACTTAACAACGAGAAATGCAGATGGTAAAGTATGAAGCAAATGTTAATCAAAATACAAAACCCCACTCTCTTTGCAGTGACCATTATCAATGTCACTGCATTTTTAATGACCATTTGGAAAGAAGTCACAACCAAATAAGCACGTCATCAGCTAAGGCAATGTGAAGAAGCCCCTGAAGTTACAAAGTTAGAGAAGAAACTCTAAATTGCAGAGCACCACTACAACTTTTGGTTCAGAATCTGTAACCCAATTCTCTGTTAGCAGAAATTGATATTTCTCAAACGTTTTCTAAATTGCAGAGCAACACTACAATTTTTCTTTCTCCTACCAATTCAGATTATCAATAAAAAATCCAAATAAAATAAACGAGAATTTGAAATTTTCAGGGGTGACCGCCCCACCATCCCCCTCTATCCATCCCTGCCCCTGCCTACCATACTGATCCGCAGTCCTGGTAATACTAACCCGATGTAAAGTATAGAGATACATTGCACGGTATCTCAATAATATTTACCAATATGAGTTTTATAAGTCAAATATTCAAAATTGGAATTATTGTGGAACAATTAGAGACCTATTCAAGTAATCACCATTACAAAATACAAACTGAACTTACTAATATAATTTCACATAAAAAAGGGGTTGACCTTTGCCACCATTTTCTGTCTCCAACCTTACTTAACCATCAGCAATGAAAACAAAAAGAAAAAGAAAACCAAATGTTACCTCTCTGGTAGCTAACTCAGAAGCATAAGGGAGAACGAAATTGACGGTGAGCTTGGAGGGAATGGAGGAAGGGGTAGCGGGTCGAGGCTGCATGAAAGAGAGAGGAGTTTTGGGAGGATCCATGTTGGGTATCACTTTGTTCCACGCCTCCACGAACATGGCATCGGCGGTCTGAGCCGCCGGCAGATCAGTGGAGAAAGATCGAGCCCCTGAGGCTGCTATGGGTCGGGCCAATAGCCCCATTGCTCGACGCAACATTCTCGAAACGATTTCGGGGTGGTTCGCTCGGCTCTCGCAAGGTCGGAGACGGGGAATGTGGGGTTCTTTGACTCACTTTTCCCTCACTCGTTTTATCTGGATAAATAGTGTTTGTGAAGTGAAAAATGGAGAGGAAATTGCCAAAATGGGCTGAAAATGGGCAACTCACCGATGACTCATTGTAACTCGGTCCATTAATAGCCCGTAAACAGAAAACAGAATTTACAAATGAACGGCTATATATATATATATAAAGGGCGGTAACATTTCCCTGCTTAGCCTTGCCGCTTGCTTTTAGGGTTTTTGCTGTCTTTGCAGTAACGAGTAATCCCTCATTCCTCAGTCATGGCGGAACAGGTGTACATTTCCCTCTCCCCTTTTCCTCTCTAAGATATTCATATGTTGATACAAATTTTATATCTTTCTTTTCCATTTAGTACATTAGACGGAGAAGGCTTTCCACAGCCAAAGGTCTTTTTAAGGTAAAACTAGCCTCTTTTGAAGTTTATTCCTTACTGCTAATTATCATTTTGAGACCATTCCCGTATTATACCATTCTTCTATCAGTTCTAAGAAATCTGGGAAAGGAAAGAGGCCGGGGAAGGGCGGGAATCGGTTCTGGAAAAGCATTGGGTTAGGGTTTAAGACGCCCAGAGAGGCAATCGAAGGTTTGCTTGCTTTGTTCCTCTTTCTTCCCTCTTGTATGCTCCTTGTATTCATCACTGAATAATGTGAAATGAGAGTTATCTGTTCTCTGCTACGACTTTGAATACTAAACGAAATAGTATGTTATCATTAGGTTTTTTAATTTGTTTTTGAAATTTCGGAATGGCATTACCATTTTACTAGTTTTTAGATGGAATTTGTTTTAGGGTATGTTGCTTTTATTGATATATAGAGATGAAACTGGGATTAAACCATGGGGGCATATTGCTTAACTTCAAAATTGCGAAGTATTTAAATAAAGAATGGGGAATAGGGTTTAATTTGTCTAATATCAAATTTGATAGGGACTTAAAAAGTAATTAAACCAGAGAAGTTGGCGACCTGGCTTCATATTATTGATTTCAAAACTAATAGGGGCTTAAAAGAGTAATTTAAACTGATAATTTGTCCCTGTTGATATAATGATTTTGTCAATTTAGGCCAAATTCTCATTTTGAGACAAACTTTAAGTTCCTAAATGAATCAGGTTACCAAACCTTTTCAGATATCCTCAATTTAAGGACTTCTTGGGCTGCAAAAGTTGTCCTTAATTAACTAAGGTTTGGTCCTTAGTGGGCCATTTTGATTCATAAAAGTCTTTGTTTCTGCAGCTTTGAAAAAGTTTGGTCCTTGATAGAGAACTTTGAAAGGTTTGTTCACTCAGGGCTTAGAACATTTAGGCCCAAATTGAGCATTTGGCCTTTATTCGATTTGGCTAGCATTCGTATGATACAATTTGGTTACCATGTCTTTGGTTAACATGTTTCTGTTTATTTGGCTTTTGCATAAACAGTGTCTTTGTCTGGAAATATAACACTGCTCTAATTACTAACTATCACGTCCATTTCTCTCATTCATTGTAGAACCATGCGGTATCCGTAACTTTTTTGGATTTGTGGACACTTACGTTGTAGGTTTCACTGTTGGTCAGGAACATATATTGGGTTCAATCCATTACCTTCTGCTCTAAAACACGAAGCCTGAGGGGAGGAGATCACGGCCGAGGATCTCAATGAACAACTGGAAAGAAGCTGAGAAAACCGGGTCTGATCCTTCACACCAACACTCAAATCCATGTCCAATCTGCCTTGCGCCCTTGGTTGAGGAGTCCTATCTCGATGCATGTTTCCATAAATTTTGTTACAGCTGTATTGTACGTTGGAGTAGGGTGGTTACTGGCAAGAGCTCTGACCAATCAGCCTCTGTAAAATGTCCTCTATGCATGAGAGAGAACTTTTCAATAATCAGTGGATTTGATGGAGCCTGTTCTCAACGACATTTTGTAGGTCAAGATTTTGAGAACAGATTCACCTTCTCAAAATCACACAAGTATAGATTACAATGCTATTACAGTGAACCAGGCATCTTAAATGACATATTTGATGTATTGCGGTTCTGGAAATCTCGAAAGTATCTTCAATCAAATATGCGGCTTCAGAATTGGTTGAAAAGGGAACTTCAGGCCTTAATGCAGGAGGAAGATGTCGACATTGTCTTGCATCACATATATGGTGTGATTGAATCATTCTGGAGAAGAATTGAGGAGACACGTGCATTAAAGAAAAATGCTGAAGCTAGGCAAGACGACTTCAGGATTGCTCTTTCTGATGCAGCAAAGCCATTTCTACTTGCAAGAACCGATCGGTTTGTGACTGAGCTTGAGTTATTTCTTGCTTCAGGCTTGAACATTGAAGCCTATGATGCGGTGTACATGCAGCGCTTAGGTTGGAACACTTCGAGTTCGAGTTCAAGTTCTATTAGCTCAGGAGGAACCACAGGCAGTAACCCTCTACAACAAGTAGTTCCATACTTGTATCTCTTTGATGTGGACTCTGATAAGGATGAATGAAATTTTCCATTTGCAACGTATTCTGATATTAAAAAAAAAGGATCATATATTGACAAGAAATGCCCATTTACCGGAACTGTTTCTATCAGAGGTCGTATCCTCGCTGGCACTTGCCATAGTGCGAAAATGGTGAGGACCATTATCGTCCGAAGGAACTGCCTTCACTTCATCAAGAAATACCCAAAGGCAAGATATCCTTTTTATTTCAACGTCTTCATTAACTTGCTAGATATATTGGTATATATTTTGCAGAAGACTGTGATGCACTTGTATGAAAAACTCTCATGCATGTCATCAAATGTGGTTTCACAAACTTTTTCCAGATACGAAAAGCGCCACTCTAATATCCCAGCTCATATATACCCATGCTTTTGTGTTAAAGAAGGAGACCACGTTATAATTGGACAATGCAGGTTCATTGTTTGATTTCATCTTATCCTTTGCATATTTATCGTATCCGTTGTTCCCCTGACCTCCCCACCACCACTGCTTCCACCCACACAAAGGGATCGTTACTAACCGCTATATTAATTTATCAATAAACTTTGCAGGCCGTTGTCGAAGACGGTGAGGTTCAATGTCTCAAAGGTCATTCCAGCCGGGTCATCTGGTGGTGGGAAGAAGGCTTTTTCCGCCATGTGAGAGGATAGCTTTTGGAATGGAGAAATTGTAGTGTCACAGTGTTGAGGGTGTATTCCCTATATGAAGTTTCTGTTGGTTTTGGTTTTTAATTTATGTATTTTTATGGAAATCCCATTGTTACAATTTAGAGGAACTAATCCACAAGTCAGAAACCACGCGTATACGCATGTGTTTAATTTTGCGGTCTATTTTTGAGATAATTGTATACGTGGTCTTTAAACTATGATCCTTATTCTAAATTAGTCTCTAAATTTTAAAACATTATATATTAACCCACAAACTATAATACCATTCTAAATTGTTCTTTAAATTTTAAAATATTCTATGTTAATCTTCAAACTCTCAATATTATTTCATTTTCATCATTCAAGGTCCTAGGAATTGTATATGTGACCTAAGTATTTTATTAGTTCTAAAGATATATTAATTTTTTATTAGCTTAATTTTCAGTACCTTTAAAAATATATAATTTTTTATTCCATTAATAAAAATGATTAAAATAGAATGATATTCATTGTTTGAGGTTTGGTACGAAACGGTTTAAAAATTAGAGATTAGCTTAGAATAAGACCATAGTTTAGGAAGTTATATAAAAATGATTGAAAATTGTATCGATTTAGAGTGTAGTCATAAATTGAAAACCTCTTATGCAATTAAGTCTATAGTATTTTTGTAAAAATTCCTTAACTCGTTGACTATAATTTTCAGTCAACGTGGGATTAGAGTATAAGCTTCTTATATCCAACAACCACCTCTTGAAAGTATAAGTAAATATTTTCATTTAAAACTCCCACAGACGATTAGATTTAAATAAATCAATGAAGAAGAATAGTGAAATGGAAAAAATAATAAAATGAGAAAGGGAGATGCAAAGACAAGAAGGAAGGGATATGTGCATTATAAAATGACAAAGTCTTCATAAATGGAGTCTCGTCCTCAGAGAAATGATTCCACAACCAAAAATTTATTGGTTCCAAGGATTGCCAAAGTAATTACAAATATATATTACTTGCTCTGAACAAAGCGTGAGTGATTCAAATTCATTTCCTTTCTTGACATTTCTTTCACGCCCAACCAAATTACAACATATCCCCCACATTGCCTTATCAACTTGATTGTTTGGTCCAAAGTCCCAATCAACCCACAAAAGTATCTACCATTCCTCACAATAATCCAAATCCATACAATTCTTCTTTTGTCTCATGCTTACCTACACTTTATGTTTATTTAAAACCGTGTTAATAGATAACGTGAATATTAATCTTCTAATACGATTTATCCTTTTTAATTTAAATAGAGAGTCGCAAATAATCCACATTTATATCAAATTTGATAACCATGACCAGAGTTTTTAGAACAAATGGATCCTTTGATGTGTGGTCTTGGAGAATGAAGAAAAAACCCCCACCTTTTATTATAGTGAAAGATGAAAAATTAGTTTTATCTTTAGAGCAGTAACCATAAGCATAGGGTGATATATTATTATTACATGCACAATGAATTGAGTTGGCTCAAATTTTTAAACGAGGAACAAAACTTTCTATGATGATTTTTTTTTCATTTATAATATTTGAATCGGAGATCTTATTTAAAAAAAACATCAAATTATTTATTATTCGACATAACATGCGTTAGTTACAAAAATCTACTTTCAACTGTAGAACCGACATCTTGTTAGTGTCATTCCCCCAAGGGGACATATAAGAATTAACCTAAAAGAAATCCAAAGAGAGTTAGAAGTGTAAATCAAAACACAAAGGGAGCAAACATTAAGGATCCCAAGAGGACATTCCACGAGTGCAAGCAAAGTAAGAAGAGAATGAGAAGGCTAAAATCTTCCCTTTTTCCCCTTTCTTTTGTTGGGGGCTTAATTTTCAACATTGGGTGGTCAAGCAATAAAAACTCTGAGAGCTTTAAATGAGATGGGTGCCATTCAGGGTTTGTGGATCCAAAGGTTTAATGTTTTCTGATGCAAAACATGCTGCTCGTACACAACACCATTTGTACATGTTCTTCCATGAATCCACCATCTCCTTGTCGTGTTTTATATTTACCTCTTTTACAAGAATAAAAAAAACAGCCTATTTGGTTAAATATCATTAGTCGAAAGAGATGGTTGTTACTTGTTAGATCCGGCAGGACAGTCCCGCCGGTGTAGGTGAACTAAAATCAACTCACCCTGTTTATTAGGCAAGAAACGGGGAAATAATATATTTAGTTACATCTCAACCTTAGTTATAAAACCGTCGGCACAATTATAGTCGGAATGTTGTTATCTTTAGAGGTATTGAACTCAAACAACTCCGTCTGCAGGGTGCGTATACATTATCATTTGGTTAATTTTTTTAACATATACTAATAATTACCCCAGACTATTCAAAAAAATACATTTCATGTCACTTAATTATATGTTCTATAATAAATGAGTACTTTTTTTAAAACATTATAATATAGTAACTTGCACGGACCCTGTGACCTTTGTGGTAAATGAATTGTTGATATTCCTTGAAGTCTCGGGTTTGAGCACTGGAAATGCCAAGAGTATGAGTGATCAATGTTGAATGGTTGAGAGTTATCTTTGAACAGATACTACATTGTACTTATCCCAAATTAATCAAAAAAATAATAATATAGTAACTTAATTAAAATATTATTACATATAAATTAAATATTAGACGAAATAATAGTGTGTCCTGATATAATAATAATTTTAGTCTAAAAAATTTGTACATTAAATCAAATTGATTATTTGATTCTAAATCTTAACAATTCAAAAAATTTAACCCTCCATATTTAAAAATTCTGATAATTTAGTTTTTGTTCTTATCATGAATTGTTTGTTCTTCTTTCATAAAATTTTATATTATTTTATATTATTATTTTATATAATAACAATTTAACAATAATTGATTGTTGTTTTATACAAAAAAAATATTTATGTAACTATTGCTTTGATATGGACTCGTTTGGTTTATGGTATCGTTAATACAATTTTAAAATAAAAAATTAAATTTATTAAATTATTTTAAATTAAGATAAAATTAATAAAAATATATAAATTTTAAAAATTATAATTATAATTATATTAAGTGATATTAAATTTTAATTTTAATTTTAATGTCCAAAGATATATCTATAATAATATTTTAATTGAGTAATTAGATTATATTTTTAAAAAGTAATTATTTTTAATTAAATATATAATCAAATAATTTGAAATATATTTTATTCTAAAATAAATTTATATTATCAAAGATGAAAATTCAAATCCTAATAATACATTACTTATTGAGTGGTGTTAGTGGTAATTAAAGGGAGTGTTATTTAATTTTAAGGTTATGAGTTTGAACAACTGCGTCTACATAACATATGCTATCAATAACTAACAAATTTTTTTAAATAAATACTATCTTATAATCAATTTATACTATTAAAAAATCCCCATATCACATGCCCGAAAGCACGTTGTGTTACTAACAGGGGTTGATTTAAGTGTTAAGCAGTTTGAGTTTGAGTCCTTGTGTGTGCAGAAATTCTCTGTTGGGAGACTCACCCATCACAGTCAAGTGTGCGACCTGGATCGTTCCGAATTAGTCAAAACGAAACTTTGAGAACCGGAAGGGAAAAAAAAGCACGTTGTGTTTATAATAGTTTTGGAATAATGGTTCATTCACTAAATTTTTTTAATGTGTAGCCTGTATTGTATGTGTAGCCACATAGGTATCTATTATTCCTTCAATCTGATGCTATACCCTGCTTTAGTATGCAACTTTTGTGCATAATATTCAATAATAATTCATTTGGGTATCATCCAACGTCAACTAATTGAATAAGCACATGATAAAAAGAATGATAATTCAACTAAACAAACGGCTCATGAGAATGATCACATGCCAAAATCAAATCCTCTACCCATCCCATATCTTATGCTTACAACTTCTTTCCTTTGAATTTATTAGTACCATAACGCATACTCAAAATTTTATTTTTAGGGGTAAACTTTCAAGAAAATTTATTATAAATTTAAAGGTATAATTTTTTATAGATATAAAATTAAATTATTAATAAAAATATAAAAAATAATACTTGAATTAAATGAAAATTTAACATTTTCAGGAGGGCAATAGTTTTCAACCTCCATTTAATTCATTCCTAAACAAAGATATAATTGTAACAATTGACATTCCATTTTCAATCAACAGGATTGTTACACAATGATGGATTTACAGATTTTTAAGTGTGAGAATATGCTTATCTTGAAATTTGATTTTTTATCCGGTTGGTTATTTATATAATTAACAGTGTTTACTCTGAAATTTTATTCGTGATTATCCCTTTAAAAAAAATTATGTTGTTAACGTATAAGTAGTTACT